GAGAGAGAGAGAGAGAGAGAGAGAGAGAGAGAGAGAGAGAGAGAGAGACCTTTCTGAAGTAAGCATATGTTACAGAAACTCTGGGGGTTGGAGATCAGACACAATCATGCTCCAACTCATTATTGCCTTTATGTACTATGAGATAATTTAATCTTTCTCTGCAGAAACCTTTGCACACCCTGGTTACCAAAGAACATTCTGCCATAATACTTGATACTGCATTTGTCAGACATTACAGTAAGAAAGACATTGGAAGAAATTGTTAGCTGAAAACTTTTGCAGCATATGATGTAAAGTAGAACTTAAAAAAAAAAGAATATCTAGAATGCATAGACTTGGTTACAGTGCTCCAGAAAAAAAATTACATTTCATTGTTAATAAAGATAATAAGAATAACATGAGAAATGATCAACCAGTGACCAACATGCATCCCTGTGTCTTTTATGGGGCTTGGAAAATTCGCTTTGCTATTGTTCTGAGGAATGGTTAGTATATGATGATCCTGTTGAACAAAAGGAGTCTTAATGCCACCCGTCTTCATTCACAGGAAGGGATTTGTCCTCAAAATGCAGATGTTGGCATCAGCAACTGGTGTAAGGCCCCAAGGATTTGCTTTAGTGCTTTGACTGTTAGCACCTCATGTTCTTCCAGTGTTTTATTTGAAACCAGAGGAAAATCTTTCTGAAACAGTGGCTTCAGTTCAAATTCAGAAGGCCTCCTTGTGTTAGCTGAGACCTATCTTGACCTCATTGTCTTGACTTGAAGACAGACAGGAGTTTAATTATTTAGTTAATTCATTCAGCACCTGTGATTTTCCAGACACAGGTCTAGGTGCCCGAGATACGACGGTGAAAAAGATACACAAGGGCTCGCCTTAATGAAGACTGTATTCTAATGGGAAAGGAAGGCAATACACATGTCAGCAACACGGAATGCGTATAATCTGTAGCAGTTTGCTAGGGCTGCCGTAACAGAACACCGTGGACTGGTGACTTAAATAATAGCCATTTATTTTCTCACAGCTTTGAATGTTGGGAGAACAAGATCAAGGTGTCAGCAGGTTTGATTTCTCCTGGGGTCTCTCTCTTTGCCTTGTAGATGCATGCCTTCTTCCAGTGTCCTCACGTGGCCTTTCCTCTGTGAGCACGCATCCTTGGTTTTTCTGTGTGTCCAAATTTCCTCTCCTCCTAAGGACACCAATCAGATTGGATTAGGTCCCACCTGAATGGCCACATTTAACCTAATCACCTTTTAAAAGGCCCAGTCTCCAAATACAGTAGCATTCTGAGCTAACTGGGGGTTAGGACTTCAACATGTGAATTTTGGGGGGGACAAAATTCAGCCTATAATACATTAATAAATTCTTTGAAAAACTGACAGCACTGTGATATACAACACACAGGGTGGGGGAGCTTAGAAGCCTGATAAGGTGACAGCACCAGGCTGAGACCACAGGGGGTGAAGCCACGTGAGGAGAAGGAAGATTTGAACGATTCTCAGACTGGTCACTTGTCCAAGTATGAAAACTCCTAGGACTCAGAAAATGATAGGACTAAGTGAGAATGCAACTCCACAGCAGAAATTTCATCTTCCTCTTTTGGGCAGCTCATTTCTAGTTTTATAGTCAGAAAGTTTTCCTTGTATTTAAATGTAAAATGCCTCCTTTGTTTTGTTCCCAGGGAAGAGATGTCACAGGTCTGTTCACATATTGGAATCCTATTATTTACCTTTCCTGCAGATTTCTTTTCTAAAGTTGTTTTAGCTTTTTTTCTGCTGCTGGATCTGGGCTGATCTGTTATGCAGAGACAGGTTTTGGGGGTCAGGACAGCGACCCAGGCCCACCCAGCCAGGGATGTGGCCCTTTTGCCAAGCTCTCCATCTGGGAAATGTTAGCTCTCGGTAGGATCGTATGTAGTTGTAATAACGCTGCCTTAGGACATCATCAGCTAATACTGAAGCCAGCACACGAGGCTGGTGTGTGCCAGACTCGTGCTGAAAGTCTACCCCAATTCAACATTTTAGAATAAATGATAAATCAAAGACTGTCCTCTTTTCACATACTAGTTTAATTAAAGTCTTTGGCCGGGGGGAGTTAAGAATGCCTGTGGCATGATTTCCTCAGTAACTTTCTCATGCAATTATGAGTTTTATTAAGTATGCAATTTGCAGGGCCAAACTCAGTTTCTGGTTCATGGCCTGGATGGTGAACTCCTCAAGGGCAGGCCGATTCGATTTTCTCATCTTTGTCAATCCAGCAAGCACGGAGCAGGTGCTCAATAAATGTTTGTTGAGCAGAAATGCATTTGGAGGCAGCTTCTGCCTCGTTCCCTGGTAGAAGAAATACATATTGACAAGTGCTGGGCGCTCAATCCTGCAGAGCTGTCTGTCAGAGGTTCGGGGTCACCTCTGTTTGGTTCAGCTACTGATTTGGGGGAGGTCCTGCCTCAGCAGGCCAGTTTGTTGGCCACAGAGTGGTGCTGTCATTAATCAGAGATTCTAATACTTGCCTGTGGTTATTTGCAGTGGACTGGGTGAGGAATGGCATTGTATGCATTTGTAGACAGGAATTCCTCAGGGCTGGCTGGACTCCCCGGTCAGATCTGCCGGTTGTGAGGTGGCCTCCATAGCTTGGAGGTCCTGCTGGGTAACAGGCACCTTCATCCTAGGGGCGCAGACCTCTTTATCCGAGAGCCCGTTCTCAGCTGCCACTCACAGTACATACAGTTAGACTTCACCAACTTAGAGCCCAGTAAAAAAGTAGGCGATAGAGGCTTATGTGTGGACCTTCATTTAGCCAAGTGTTCTTGGCTCGGAGCAAAGAACCCAGGAGTTGCTGCCCAAACAGAAATGTGTGGAAGGGACCCAGGAACCATCAGCTGACTGGAAGAGGCAACAGCTGTGAGCAGCCGTCCTGGGCACCAGCGTTTAAGTCAACATTTTGTGGCGCTCCTCTGCATTGATGAATGTAAATATCTGCTCACTGATTCTCCCTTGGGTGAATTCTAGGAAGCAAGTGGCTGGGAGAGAGTCCTCCTCAATGTCAGGGTGGGTGCTTACTTCAGAAGCTGATGGGTGGGTGGCTGTCCTGAGTGGGAGAGGCATGGGCTGCTGGAAGGTGGAGAGGTGAACTGTCCCCAAGCACGTGGCCTTGAATGACATGTTTGCCAACTTTACCTTCATGTTCAGGAAGAGCCCACACTAGGTAATAAGCCTGCTACTTCTGAAGAGCTCAGCCTCTTGGCACCGGAGGCCGCTGTCTGAGGGCATTGGCCACCTCCGGCTTTTCTTCTGATGTCTGAGTGAAAGGAGGGCAGGCCTGGGGCTGTGATGTCACAGAAGAGGCAACCTCTTACCTGGGATCCTGCAAATGCAGATATTAGTCCCGGAAGGAAGTGCTTTCTATTTCAAGTTATCAAGCTGTTCATATATTGTAACTGGATCTTTCATTTGCAAATGGTCTGTTAGAAAGCAGTAAAGAATTGAAATAATCGATAGACATTCAGCAAAACAAGGTCTTTCATTTCCAGAGAACAGTTGCATTACTTACTGTTCTACTCCCAAGTGAAACAAATGCAGAACTTTAGACTA